TCCGAATATTTTTCTTGATCAACATCATTTGATCACATCAAAGTCATATATCTTTCTATGCTGAGATAAATATCTAACTAAGAACTCTAACCGGGATCTATCATCTTATATGCACAGTATCTTACACTACAAATGTGGCAAGTTGAAATCTAAAAAAGCAGAAAAGAAACATAAATTAAAGTGAAAATTTCCGGAACAGACCGATTGGTAACGGAAAGACAGTGCGAGTCAAGCTTTGACAATTTTGTTGCCAATAATAGGCCGAGCATTTTAGGTAAATATTTTTAATGTATTGTTTCTATTTAGACATTCACACGGCTTTAGAATACCCATCTTACGGACTGACCAATTACGATAACTACTTCATTGTTATACGTTGCAGTCAAAATTGCGTTGCGTGGTATTGCGTTCATCCGAACTCATCCGCGTTCGATATTACCTAGTCCTAGCCATTGCTTTGACCTAAAACGACATAAAAGATATATATATATAAGAATTGGCAGGTGACCAATTACATATTTTGTATTGAATATCAATATGCCTTTAATTCACTATGATGTTTGTAATGTTTTCTTCCGAAATATATGTTTTGGTATACAAACAAAATTCCATGTACTTTTTAGCATTTCTATTGTGGCGCAAAATATTAATTGCACCTCGGTGCTACCAACATTTTCATTGGTGCCATCTACTGCATTGCCGTATGCAATAATGATCACTGTTGCTACCGAGCCCACCAATTATTAAAGTGATAACAATGTGAAAGGAAATTCAAAAAGTTCAATATAAATATCAGGTAATTGGTACATTCGTCCATACGTGAAAAACCCATTGCCAACAGCGGATGATGTTTTTCGCGTTTGGAAGGCTCTAGATCTCTAGAGGGGCCGATTTTGAGTGATGTGCGACCAGCGTAACGTGTTTTTAATTTAATATGGTACGTACGAGTAATTCCCATCCTTTTGCGTTGCGAAGTCTATACCTGAGTCCAATTTATTATCTATATATATATATCTATCTTGTGCGAACAACACGTGTTACGAGATCAATAACCCAAATAACTAAAATTTTTGTGCCTACAACTAACAGATAGCCTATGTTAAATAAAGATGCGTGGCCTGCGGTTTCAACCAGTTATTTCTATCTGACCCTCCCGTACTAAAGGTTGCACACCCCTGCTGTACTAGATGACCACGGAATATACGTACCATTGTACGCATCCGTTTGAGACAAAATATTTTAAAGTTACATCAAAATTTTAATACGGAGGTGCAAGCATTTGTACTTCTTAGTTATCTAACTGTCATATAAAATAGAATATCATGTTACACGGATAGTGGAATCGTGTTTGCACTACTTGACACAATTTTGAAGCAATACCTATTTTAGAATCGTTTCCTATTATATTTGAATTTTGCACTATTGCCCAGTAAAATCCATTCTGTCACATCATGTGTATATGTTACCGTAAGTCATTGAGGCAAAAATCTTTCATAATACAAAAAAAAAACAGATTCTCGTCATTGCTATATGAAACCCCAAGAAAATCTAATTATAGAGTTGCACAAAGTTGACGACGCTAAGAGCTCAAAAAGAATGGTTGAACAGTATCATTAAGCCTGCAGCATAATCCATTTTCCGAAGCGATTTAAAACCCCAAGTAGGCGGACAATGTTTGCTGCTAAAACTGCCGCTGAAACAGTTAGTATTTTTGGGCAGCAAACAACTGTTTCACTTTTTTTTAGATATTTGGAAGCATTATTGAGAATCGTTTAAATGCGGCTCATTCAGCTGTTTGAATAGGATAAATACTAATTTCACAAATGGCGTCTTTCTATATCGGCATGACAATAATCGGGTATACATACCTCTTGGCATTTTAGTCATTGGGATTCATCCACTATAAACCCGACCACTTGATCTAGCCATGAATTCTTTTATACGGATCACTTTTGCCAATAAGAAATTATTCCTCAAGCAAGTTAAAAAAAAATCACCTATAACTCTGCTTATTTGATATCAAATATATATGATAAGTTTTAATGATACGCAACTTTTTTTAAGCGAATATTGCTCTGAGCCAAGACATGAAAAGTGAAGTTGAGTCAAATGTCCGTCATCCATGATTATTAAAGAATACCCAGAATGAAGTTACTGTCCATGCAAAGTGCGGCGTCTTATATCAATATTATTACGCCGTTCGGAATCTTCCCACGCAGATATAGGGAAATTTTTATCTCATTCTTACTCACGAAACAAACATAGTTCAATATCTTCAACTCAATTGCTAACTCTAAAGAATACTGTGCTAACAGTAGCCATATATATATATATATTGATAATTGATAAAGTGTGTCAAAACAAGTTCGATACAGTTACATCAAACTCATTTAGCTAAAGTTTGAAAATTAAATTTTACTGTGTTTAACTTATTTTCATCACGTATAAAGGTATAATATCTCATAAGAGCAGAAAAGAGCAACAACATTCCATACACATTCAACATTATATACGTTTTCACATAAGTTTGGCATAGAGACATTTATTGGTAATGCATATGAAAGAATGCGTTCTAAATATAGCTTAATATGTTTATAAACTTATTTAAGGAAGTAAAGTCATTTGCATACTTTCCACACGTGTCGATGACACACGTTTACATTAAAAAGAAGAGGTCGGACGGAGATTGACCTCTAAGGTCAATATTTCGTATAAACAACATATCAATAACGATCACCAGTACCGTATTTGAATTATTATTTTCTTTTGTTGAAATTAACCAAAATACAAATGTTGTCATAGAATTATCAAAATTCTTACATGAGGAAATTTCTCTATCGTGATGCCAATAATATCCTAACATACAAATGAGTTAACCGGAATGTCAAAATGCCACCACAAATTGTCTATCACCAGAAATATATTCTGAAACGAAACGAAGCACCCGGCAATGCACGTACGATAGTTGAGATCAAATATGCCAGTGGAAAATTTCCCTATTGCAATCTATAATTGCGTAGGCATAATGATAGAATTATCTGAATTGGGTGCAATTGAATTTAATTCATACGATTTCAATGCATCGCGGCATGTTTATTTTTAACCACAATACTTTACCAATTAACTTATGTATCTTTAATAGGAAATAGCATTGATGAAATATCACGCTATTTCCTTGTGAAGCTGCCAAGAAAAAAGCTAACGCTGATCATATATTTGTGGCGATCCCTTCTGTTTTGGAAATCTTTTTATAGATTTTTTTTAGCTAACGCTTTTTGGTTCTTCTTCGTATTGAAGAAAATCCATGTTTTCACAGAAAATTTCATAAAATCATTTACCAGTAATCGGCCCATTCTAAAGTTGCATGTATAGTGTTCAAATTTACACACTAACACACCACCATGATATTAGGCTTGCTGCGAAAATACAACAGTAAGTTTCTCATCGATGCAAATAATAATCAAATCTGTGACTTGCATTCTTCTTTTCCATGATAGAAATATAACATGTGACCTATTAAATTTCTACAAAGTTGTTTGTGATATGTGTAAGGGAATCAAATCATTTTTTTCTGATTTGATAAAGACTTTGGGCTTAAAAAGTAATTACTATCCCGTTCATGAACATTCAGTTTACACCAACATTTGACACTGACTCCCATATGTTATCAAAACAATCCGACTGGTATACATTGTACATTTGTTGAAAGTGAGACGATTGAACGTGGGTGGATATCAATTTACAGGCGGAAATAATTCACCGTGCACAAACTCGGAGAGTATAAGGACCTTTCACAAACCACCATTAAATCATTTAGGCAATTAAGTAGTTAGGTTGGTATGTTCTTGGTATAAGCGCCGATGAGCATGGTGGGGCAATCCGAACATTTTTGATTCAAAACGTATAATTTCGTGATTTGTGCGTTCGATAAGCTCATCAAATAATAAACAGGAGAGGCGAAGATTACTTTTGTACAGGATCTGACACGTCGTGATATAGCATATAGTAAATTGGAGATTATTAGTACGAAGGGTACCGTACTGCAAGTCTTAGAAAGAAGAAATAGGATTAGTGGCGCATTAAGAGAGCTGTTTGGATCATAATTATGCATTTAGGCTACCCACTTGAAAAAAATCGACGCAAAACGGAGTATTGGTTATTCGGAATAATGAACTGAAATTGGCTGGCAACTAATTGATTCGTATAATGAATGCAGTTTTGAATGTCACATAGTCTCATATTAATATTACAATTTATAAAGTAAAACTGTTTTTTTGTTTATGAATTCTCAGTAACTGTGAAAAAACTAAAGTTGGTTCAGTAGATCATGCTATCTTTATTCTGTTAAGCTAACTCCTCTTAAGTCTTGTTAGAGGAACTGGGATATATTTTTACGAATGTGATAATATTAAAGATACGCATCTTTATGAAGACATGTTTATCTTCAAGATAGCCATGCCCCACTTAACAATGCGTTTAGTTAACTTCGCTACAGCCAAGCATGATTCTGCGATGTGCTTTACCAGTTGCGAGGCAAATCACTTGTTCTTTATGTGTTACCTCAAATCACAATTCACAACATCATAGCAGGTAAAATAAATTAAACAACAGCATATTTGATAAAGTATAATCGTGGACGTCGTTACAATACGTTAGTAAAATTACCCCGTGCAAATTACCAATACATGATGTTTTTTCTTTATATGTTCTACGTATAATAGGTAATATTTACTTATTCCAGAATGAGTTGAAAACTGATAAAAATTATTGAGTGAGTGGAATTCCAGGCTCTAGTAAATATCGATTTTTAGAATTGGAGTAAATGAATTTTAGAAGGTGAAGAAAAAATTATATTTAAAAATTAAGTTTGCATCGAAATTTAGCACCCAATATGCCTATTTGCTCATGTTGAATCGTTTATTTTGTTTGATTACTGTTATACAACTCAATTATAATGATTACGATGCGAATTCTGCATTTAGATTTACACAGACCAGAATGTTAGGTTTAGATTAGATATTAGTGAAGATGATGAAATCTGGAACCTAACATATCAGTATGAACACGACGTCTAACATAATCAACACCACTGGTGAAACGAGCAACATTATCAACCGCACGGGTCACGTGGACCTAACAGGGAAGTTTGATTCGCCAAAATGGGTCATACCGGTTCTTTCATGCTTTGGTGTTCTCATAACTTATATATCCATATCCATCTATTTGTATATGTTTAAATGCGGGAGAAAATTTCTGATCCGTAAATCTTCATCCGATGTACTTTACCTAAAAGTTATGGACATTCTGCTTGCAATAATATGTGCGTGTTCCTGTTTAGTTGTGTACGTGGACTTGGCAAAATCCGCCATATCCGGACCAATACATTACAAAGCTTTCTCAGTTTACGTTTTGCTGAAGTATTCAATATTTTCTATCGGACAGTCTTGCATCTACATACTTTTATATTCAAGGCAAAGAGCGTTTTACAATCTACCTACAATGAAGACTTACTTTCCAAGATATTGCCTCGCCGGGAATAACTCGTACTTTATCCTACTTCTAGGATTGTGTGCGCTCAGTGCCGGTGAGTGAAATTTTTCTGGCTACGGTAATAGCAACTTATTAATATTTCGAATATTTTCACGATTTCAACATATTCACTGAAAATCGATACATAGGTTGGAAACGTTAAATCGGCTTAAACTTTTGGTGAGGCAAGCTGGTGATCTATTGGTGCCCTACCGGTAACTTAGCTATATCTAACTTTTTGTAGGTAATCGATCATGACCTAGCTTAAAGCAAAGTTACACGAATAGTTGCTTTTATATACACTCGTAAAATACTTGAACGTCTAATTTCAGGTATTTTCATCAGCACTCGGACGCCAGAATATAACCTCTGTATTTTCAAAAAAACTTGCCTCGGGAGAACGGAGCAATACATCAAGCATGGTATTTTCGTTGCATCCACATCATTTGGACAAATAACTTTGCTGGGTATGTTGAGCTACCCAATTTACCTCCATGGAAAAAACTCTCAATTAGATGAAAATGCTAAAAGAGGAATTAAGCTTATTAAAAGAGCTTTAATTTTGACTCTCGTATGCATTGCATCACACGTGGCGGCATGGCCAAGGTGAAATCTTTTAGTCGTTTGTTTCATATTCAAATTATAAGTAATTCATTTATATATACCATTTGTAAAATTTTCGTTTTATTTTATTAATATCGTAATTTCGTAAATTGATTATCAACGTATATGTGGTATACTGTGTTATGGCTCCCATTATTTTATGCATGAGAAAAATCTCTCAAAGCTCTAATTCAATCACAGATTTCTTGGGTGTTCCCCTAGGAAACTCTTTCTATCTTGAGTTAACGACACCCACAGAGATTCTTCAAACAATCTCGAACCTGAAAAAGGTTAAAGCAGTTGGTCCTGATGGTATTCCATCTCACTTCTTAAAAATAGTTGCAGACTTCATATCCCCAGCGCTAAGCCATTTTTTCAATTCTTCATTTAGATTAGGTATTTTTCCCTCCTCACTTAAGATAGCTAGAGTGATCCCTATATTTAAAAATGGCAAAAGAAATGATCCATCTAATTACCGACCAATTTCCATTCTACCAGCAATCGGCATTATTCTAGAACAATTATTGTATAAGAGAATGATTAATTTTTGTTCAAAATTTAACTTGATCGACAAGTGCCAATTTGGATTTCGGACCAAACATTCTATCAACCATGCTATTCTAGATTTAATTTCGTCCATTTATGACAAACTTTACAAGGGGGAATTTGTTTTTTGTACTTTTCTAGATTAAAAAAAGCCTTTGATACTGTCGATCATCATATTCTTTCTCATAAACTAAGACAATATGGCTTTCGACGTGCTTCAGGCAACATATTAATTGATTACCTGTCCTGTCGGTACCAATATGTAGAGTTCAATTCTCATAAATCTCCAATGTTGCCCATCCGGTATGGAATTCCACAGGGCAGTGTATTAGGACCTCTTGGTTTCTTATTTTTTATAAACGATTTATCGAACAGCTCTAATTTCCTGACAAAATTGTTTGCCGATGATGCCTGTTTTCTCGATAGTGCGAAGGATTTGAATACACTCCAAGCCAAAGTGAACACTGGAATTAATAAAGTATATGAGTGGATGATATGCAATAAACTCACTGTTAATGTGGAAAAATCTAAAGTCATGTTGTTCAGCCCTAAAAGCCGGACTAGAAATCCGAGACTTTCAATTAAAATTAATGGTATTCCAATGGAAATCGTCTAGTCTTATAGATATCTTGGGCTTCATATTGACCATCAACTCAAATGGAACAGCCACATCACTGAAATGTACAAGAAACTCTCCAGATCAGTAGGGATTCTGGAAAAACTCAAGTATTATGTACCGAGCCCAACTCTGCGGACTATTTACTTTGCCCTTTTTCAATCACATATCCAATACGCCTTTGCTGCATGGGGCTCCGCTACTCAAACTAGCTTGCGTAAATTAGAGATTTTACAAAATAGGGCTGTTAAAATTCTCTCCGGAGCACCAGTTCGTTCAAACATGAACACCCTATATCATAAAGCCAGGGTGCTAAAATTGTCTGACATCTATAAATTAGAAATTTCTAAGATTATGCACCAGTTCCACAACAACCTATTGCATGCAGCTTTCGCTGATTATTTCACTGTTCTCAGTAATGTGCATGAGCATAACACACGCTCTTCAACAAAATCAAATTTATTTGTTCCCAGATTTTCGATAAGCAAGTCCCAAAACTCCTTGAAATATAAGGGTGTTGTAATTTGGAATAGTATTCCCCAAATCTTACGCGACTCTTCTTATGAAACTTTCAAAACAAAATATAAAAAATTATTGCTGTCACTTTACCAGTCTGCTGTGATTGCATCCAACTGATGTGGCCTCCGCACTCTTTCCCGCTTGCTCCACTAGGCCTATACCTGTAATAACTTTTTTTTTTAAATTTTTTCATGTCCTCATTTATTGCATTTTTGCCAATGATTTGAATTACGTAAAGTGTGCCATGCTAATTGCATGACCTGTATTCGTTCGTAATCTGCACAATATAGTAAACTACTTTTCTTATGTTTGAAATGGTTCATGAAGCTTTGTACGAATTGAACCACATTGAAATTCTCCGAACTCCGAACACCACCAATTCGGTAGCCATGGAGATGGTGTCGGCGATAGAAGTTTCTTTTCAGTTGATAATATTTTGAACGCTGTTCTTCCTTGTGTTCCGACCGGCTAATTTTTATCGATAATTGCTTTTCTGTTTTGACGCGAGTTTCGCGGGCTTTACTGCATCTGACGTGTCACGCGTGGCTCTTGCATCTCGACTTTACGCGTCGTAGGACGTTCTTGTTTAATCTTGTTATGATGTTAGTGGTGTGGTTTCGCATTATCCGCTTTCTTGACTTAGCGTGTGGGTGGCTTTTGGTCTCGTTAGGTAGACCTGTGGTGAAGGTATCGTAACCGGGGCCCCATATGACCATCGTCGTCATTTATTGCTTTAATTGTTCATGTATTTTATATTTCATTCTTATTAACTGCTTTCTAAATTTAGTTGCTATTTTTATGCCAATAACGTTATCGTTCACGTTTCCTGTCAGTTTCTTGTCGATTTAGGCCTTTGGAGCGTTATCATATGTAAGTTTATTTTCTATTAACTTCTGGTTATGCATTTTCTTTCTGCCCTCATCTTGTGATTGTTTATTGATTATTTCATTTTATTTACAGTCAACCGTTTTACAATAAACGCGTATGACATGGAACATCTGTGTGCCTAAATCTGACAAAGTTGAATATGACGCATTTGTTGAAGAAGTCAAATACTAAAGAATCTGAAGCAACAGTGGCTTCATCGTCGACATTTACGGAGGAAGGCGACTCTGCAGCTGACGAAACGTTTGAGGGCTTGCCATCTTTAACCACGGTTAGACAAAAGCGTATCAACACAGAAACTGAGTTTGAATCATTGTTGACCAAAAGTCTGAATTTGATAAACGAGAAGGCTCGAAAATCGCAGCTGGCATGCCTAAAAACAGAGTTACATTTTAAACTGGCCGCCTATAATCAAATTATATCGAACACATTACCTCAAATTCGCAACGCAGAGTCGAAAGCTGCTTTCGAAGAATGCGTTCAGAAAGTGATATCTGAAGTTGAAGGTATGAACGATGAAATTGATAGTTACATCGACCGTGAACCTGAAATATCGTGCGTGGCTCCTGACGAAGGGAACTCTCAGATTTCAAGTGAAAGAATGGAAGAGGACAGCGATAATACAATAAAGCTCCAGCCAGCGTGCGCCAAGCGGTCCGGTGGTGAAATGGGGGCGGCGACTGACCAACTTCGGGAATCTAGAGTACGAGAACACTACGATCGCCGAGAGACACCAACTATTTTAAAGAGTCCCTTTATGAGCCACAGGTTCAATAACTTTGACGAACACGACGTGTTACAATCAACTCGAAGAAAAAGTGCCCGCTTCGAACCAGAGACTTTTACCGCGTCAGATAAACGTCGTGAATATACGATTTCTTACACTCCAAGACATTACCAAAATCCTTCACCAGCAAACCGAATGCCGTTGCCAGACCAATCGGTAGACTCCTGGATCGATAATCTCCATCCAAATCAAGCAGGATCCAGAACGGTAAATGATAACATTTCTCTAGCTGAGCAAACAAGTTTATCTTTGAGTTTAAATTCTAAAATGTGGGCTGAGCATCATTTGCCGCCGGTACAAATAAGTCCGTTTGATGGGAGTGCTATAAATTGGCCTAATTTCATTGAATTGTTTTATGAAAATGTTCATTCACGGTTAGACGATGATGGTCAACGCATGGTGAGATTGTCCGCGTATTTGTCGGGTTCGGCGAAGCGTCGTGTTGAGGGATTAGGTACCGCCGGTAGTCATTACATACTGGTTTTAAAGGAATTAAAACGCCGCTACGGACAGCCGGTACTGATCGCACGGGCGGTGCTTGACCGAGTTGTAAATGAAAAACGTATTTCGCCTCTTTCGGCCGATAGATTGCTAAATTTTCACTCAGACGTGCGTGACTGCGTGGTGAATCTCAAAAAGATGTGTTATTTGGCTGACATCATTAGCGTCGAGAATGTAAGGAGGGTTTCATGCAGGATTCCTCAAGAACTGAACTCGAGTTGGAATAAATTTGTTGTAGGTTTTATTCACAAAAACTCTAATCCGACATTAATTGACTTTGAGCAATGGTTGTGGGAAAGAACTGAAGAAATCGCCAATCCTTTTTCTCCAGATGTTACTTGCATAGTGATCAATAAAACTGATTTTACTGACCACGAGATGCCCAGAAGCGCTCGTGGCCGATTTCCGACTCCATTTTCAACGTTATCAAACTTGGAATCCGATAATACGTCATATAGTGACGCATCACGTTGTCAATTCTGCAATGCTCGCCATTCTTTGAGAAGTTGTGAGACGTTTTTCGGTGCGACCGATTATGTGAAACGTAACTTTGTTGTAGATTACAGGCTTTGCTTTAAATGTCTTGAACCGGGCCATCGTGCATTTATGTGTAGATGTGATGTCGAGTGTAGTATATGCAATGGGAAACATCACAAATGTATTCATGGTATTCGCATGTTTGAAAGCGTCCCAAGACCAATAAACCGACAGGGTATAAACAATGCGGTGTCGGTAAACAACTAGAGTTCAATTTCAGTTGCTGCCTGTTTTGGTTAGAGGAGCTAATGGACGCTCCGAATATACAGTTGCTTTGCTTGATTCGGCAAGTCAGGTCTCTCTCATTCATCCCAAACTTAAAACTAAATTGGATTTGCGTGGACGTCGTAAAAGGCTCATGTTAACCACCCTCGGAGGAACTGGGCCTTGCATGACTCGGGAAGCGGTCGAACTTTTTGTGCGTGACAAATTAAATCCCGACGGCAAAGAACTACATCTAAAGTCAGTTTTCGTATGTGGCACCAGAATTCCCCACCCTGAAAGAAGTCATAAAGATTTTGAATCCTTCCAGCATTTACGTGAATTATCACTTCCTGACATTAGAGAAAACGAAGTTATGTTGCTCATAGGTGCGGACCATCCATTTGCCCACTTT